CACTGAGCCACCTTCCCAGCCCAGATGGGGCATCTTTAGTAACACATTTCACTCAGATTTCATAGTTGGCTAAGTGCAGGAGTTAATGACCAAGAATATCTCTGTGAGAATGATTTTTGGGGGGGGTTTAGTCGTGGGCTTTAACTCTGGGCCTGGGCACTGTCCCTCAGTTTTTCAGCTCAAGGCTAGCTAGCACTCTACCACTTGAGTCACAACACCCCTTCTGTCTTTTTCTGTGTATGTGGTACTGAGGAATCGAACCCAGGGCTTCATAAATGTGAGACAAGCACTATAATACCACTAAGCCACATTCCCAATACACCCTCCCCCTCTTTTTAAAAATAAAGTATTAAGAATAGGTTAAAGCTGGGACCATTGGCACATGCTTGTAGTTCCAGCATAAGGAGGCTGAGGCAGAAGGATATCGAGATTGAGGCCAGATCAGGCTTCAAACACGCCCCCACCCAAAAAAAAAGATTAGCAAACCATAACTATGGTTAACAAAAGTAAAAATGATAGAAAAAACATGTTGGCAATTTAACTGTTAACAGGCATGATTAAAACCTACATTTGGCCAGGCACTGGTGGCACACAGCTGTCAACTTAGTTATTTAAGAGGTTGAGATCTAAGGGTTGCTGTTCAAAGCCAGCCCAGTCTGGGAGACAATTGGTACCACTGAGGATATAACCCTAGCCCTATTTTTTCTTTCTGCCAGTCTTGGGACTTGAACACTGTCCCTGAGCTTCTTTTGCTCAAGGCTAATGATCTACCACTTGAGCCATAGTGCCAATTCTGGTTTTTCTGGTGGTTAACTGGAGATGTGTCTCACAGATTTTCCTGCCTGGTCTGGCTTTAAATTTCAATCCTCAGATCTCAGCCTCCTGAGTAGCTAGGATTACAGGTGTGGGCCACCAACACCCGGCACAAAATGATTTTTACAACCTTTAGTTCATTAACTAGCATTTGAAATAGTTAGAAATGTTACTATATTAAAACAATATTTCAAAAGCAAACTAGAACTTGTATTTAAAAATGACTGATGGCTGATGTTTACTGCCAACAGGAGAGATTCAAAGTGAGGGAAGCACTGAGCTATCTCTGAGGACATATGGAAACTTGAGTATCAGCTCATTTGGCAGCTTTTAAAATTTCATGTTTATTCATATTTTTCAAAATATATGTACATTAAAAAAAGGAAGATTTACAACAGGAAAGATTGCTTTAACATGCAACACAAATTCCAATGAACTCATGATGGGATCACACATGATTATGATCTAATTCAAGCCAATTTTCTCAAGTCCATTTCCCAGCCACACTTAACGCTGCAAAAGGATCCCAGGAGACAATGCAAGTGGAATGAATGTAAAACAAACACCTTTTGTCTCTGGTGGCACTCAAGGGGTCAGAAGATGTACACCAAAAAGTTTAAGACAATTAAAATGTCAAGTGCCACAGGGAAGATATATGACAACCAGAAACTGGGATTTCTCAAATAGAAAGCTAGTGCTATTTAACACAACTTCACAATACTGAAACAAACACAAATAAAAAAGGGTTAGGTAGTAGGGCTTCATTTGCTTTTTCTACTTTTTTTTTTTTAACTATTTCAAAAAGGAAGCCACTTGCTTGATATCAAAAGTGCTCTGGAAAGGAGGGGAAACCCACAGATGAATCTGACAGCTACTTTATGTTAGCAAATTGTGTTTCTTAACAGTTCTACATTAGCAATGATGTAACTCTCCAACATTTCCTTATAAAAAAAGGCAAATAGGGAGTGATTATTCATGCTCCAAATATTAAAAAATATATTTCAACATCTGATCAAGAAGACTTCATATGCTTTGATTTTTTGGTAACATAGATAACACCAGAAATCAGATTCAATATATTCGCCTACTTTCCCGTTGCTGTTAAGTCAAGTGGCAGAGAGAGGTTGTGCTCGCCGCTAAGGACTGCAGTATTCTGGGCCTGTGAAAACACCTGGGAGGTGACCAAGGCGGGGAGAGGGGCTAAATGCCAACTGGGTTTACCGTTGGAGAGAAAGGGTTAGTGGAGTGACTTTTAGATATAGGATTAGTATAGCTGTAGCTGAATTCTGTAGGCAGGCTTTGCAATTCAGTCAGTGCTAGTCTGCCTCCTCTAGCACCTGACCAGCATCCTGTTTTTGATGCTTTCTACAAATATAAAAAATCTCTGCAACTGTTTAGATAAAACTGGAAGAGGAAAAAAAGCTAAATTAGATCATTCAAAAAGGAAAAAAAAAAAAAAACAGAATGGAGGTAGGGGGAGGAAGAGCAAAAAGGGTAGTACAGGTCCATAGTTTGGGAGTCCAGGATTACTGGAGAAATTAAAGTGACTGAGGGAAGGGGCAGGCACCAGGAACAGTGCCCTAAAGCTAACAAATGCCTAGCCTGGTTTGTGTTCCCTCCCCACAATGTCCACATGGGAGGAAAAAAATTAATTTTAAAAGCTTTAAACTAAAACAAATGCATACTGACCTAATAAAATATTTAGACTTTTGAATTTTATCATGATACCCTTTCTTCCTATACAATTTACTTTTTTGCCTTGAAAGACTTCTTCATGGTGGATTTACCCTTGCCAGGCAATTTCACTTCCTTTCTTGTACTGGCTGCAGGCTTTTTTGAGGAGCTACTGCTAGGTTTCTTGATGACTGAGGGTGAGGGTCTGGCTTTCTTGGCAGGAGTTTTGGCCTTAGGAGGGGCTTTCTTGGGTAGGGGCCTAGTTTTTCCCCGCTGGGCAGCTGGGACTTTAGGTGCAGGCTTGGATCCTCTCTGCTTCATGGATACAGTCTTCCCTGGGGACTTGGCGGGAGTTTTCTTCTGCAACCTGTGAGATGAAAAGAGTGAAGACAGTCAGGATGGGGAGATTCATTTACCAATTCAAGCAGATGCCTAAGACAAACAGCAAGGCTGGGTGCTGGTGACTCACGTCTGTAATCATAGCTACTAAGGAAGGAGGTTGAGTTCTGAGGATCATGGTTCAAAGTCAGCCCAGGCAGGAAAGCCTGTAAGACTGTTACCTCTTAACTACCAATAAGCCAGAAGTAAAGCTGTGGCTCAAGTAAAGCCTTAAGCAAAAAAGCTCAGGGACAGAGCCCAGGCCCTACCTTCAAGTCCCAGGACTGCTGTACACATGCACACACACACATTTAAAAAGAAATAGCAAAAGTAGACGTCATTGTGGTAAAAACAGGAATTTAACTTGGTATTTTTTTACTAGAGACTTATTATTAAATTTATACACTAATTTAACCAAATCATAAAAATTTATATATAACTCCATGACATTTTTCTAGGAAAACATGGAATTATTTTTCCTGAATATATATAATGAAGAAATGGTGCTGTGGCTCACGTGGTAGAGTGCTTGCCTTGAGCTGAAGAGCACAGGGACAGCACCCAAGCCCAGAGTTCAAGCCCCATGACCACCACCACCACCACCAGCACCAGCACCAAATAAAAGTGGTGCTGTGGCTCCAATTGTAGAACTCAGGGACAGTGTCCAGGTCAGAGTTCAAACCCCATGACCGGCAAAAAAAAAAGAAAAAAAAAGAGTAGATGAATATATATGAGTATATACAGGTTGACCAAAGAGTATATATATTTCATATTTACACTATTATAAGCTCAAAGTCCCTGAATTTTTGAGAAGTTCAAATATTATACGAAGAAGCTGAGATGGATTCCAAGTGATTATCTGAACCACTACCCTCAGTCCCTCCTATTAGAACCACTTGCTATTTATTTCCTATCATATCCAAGGTTCTTCCCAATCTATACCTTCTCTTAGGTGGTGGCTCCTCATCCTCAGATTCTTCTTCTGATGACTCATCTTCATCTTCATCTTCATCCTCATCTTTAGAGTCATCTGGTTCTTTCTTTGGAAATAGAACTCCTGGGCTAAGAAAGAAAAGGGAGAGGACAACACACAGAAAAAAGAAGAGACAGGTAAAATACAAGTCCCACAGAGGACAAGAAGATAATGTGAACCTACAAGTTCTTCACCAGACATTGTCCACTTCTGTCTACATTCCCTCAAAAATTGTGTTAGGTTATAAACATGGTTCATGTTTGAACACATAAAAAGTCATCAGTCCTATGTCTTGAACTAAATGAGCCAATGGATCCCCAGTAGTGACAGTCTGCATGGCAGCACACACTTTCTGCCTTCACAATAAGGGCAAAAGGCCACAAAGTCTTTTTTTTTTTTTGGTCAGTCGTGGGGCCTCAACTCTAGGCCTGGGCCTGTCCCTCAGCTCTTCAGCTCAAAGCTAGCATCCTACCACTTGAGCCACAGTGCCACTTTCAACTTTTTTCTGCTTATGTGGTGCAGAGGAATCGAACCCAAGGCCTCATGCATGCAAGGCAAGCGCTCTACCACTGAGCCAACTTCCCAGCCCCCACAGTCTTAAAAGCTTCAAAAACTCAAGTCTCTTCAAACGCTTATAGAAATTCACTATTCTGTACTCTTAATAGAAATCTTGACTTTCTTTAATATGCCCTTAAGTTGTAGCATTTTATGTGACCTTCAATATTAAATTTACTGTTTAATATTTGAAAATTTTAAATAGTATGCAATTCAATCACATAACATTATGTTTGTGCCCAAAGAATAAAGTAAGAAAGTTACACGGTGATGTTGTTAAAAATAGGGTCTTAGTGGTATATGCCTTCAGGTCTATTAGCTACTAGTGCATAGGAAGGTCACAGAACCAGTGCTCAGAACGATGCATGACATGGGCTCAATATATATATTTTTTGTTTCAATAATTAAATAAGGTATATATGAGGTAAGTTTTCAAATAAATGTTGTTTGTACATATGTAGAAGGCTTAGGATTCTTGGCACTTGACAATTTAAATAAAGTTAATTTCCAGATGTCTTCCTGTTATCATTTAAAAAGATAATGAACAAAACATTAAAATAACCATTTAAGGCTCTTAAACAATCTTTTGCCTGAATAGTTATTGCTGTTGGCCAAATAATAAGCACTAGCAGGCAGGACAGCTAAAGCTTCTTGTGTAAGAAGTACTAAGTGTAAGAAAATTTAAAAACCAGTCTGTAACCTAGATTCAGGTTTAAAAATTATAATGGTCAAGTGTTTCCATTAAGTAAAATCTCACCTGGGGTAATAGGGAAAGCACAGCTGGAAGGTGCCACTGAATCCTTTACCAGAGATCTGCTCCATCCACCCATTCTTCTCACATTTCTGCAGAGTTTTCTTCAGCAAATGCACTGAATAAAAGAATTCAAGGAGTTATTTAGGCAGATTAGTTTCTTCTCAACCACAATCAGATGTCTACCAATTAATGTCCTTCTCTGTGATCACAAATATCAGTTCAGCAAACATTAGTGCTCATAATTTGGAAGGTTATAGTGAAAAGAGTTCAGTTAAGTCCAATTCCCCATTTCACAGAAAAGTTAACAGAAGCATAGAATAGTTAAATGACTTGTTCTAAGGCAGCACATAAAATTATTAATAGCAGGAAAATGTCATTATTTCCACTCACTCAAGCACCTATATGTACCTATAGGAATTGATAATCACCTAGGACACATACCTATAAATACAACAAATTCTTCATAAATTAGCAAAGAATAATAAAATAATACCATAGCTCATAAAGTCCTAGTTACTCATCTTTCATAATAGACATATAAAAAATGAGCCAGTGGCTCATACCTGTAAGTCCTATTCAGAAGATTGAAATCTGAGGATCAGAGTTCAAACTCAAACCAAATAGTAAAGTCTGTGAGATGCTATCTCTAATTAACTACCAAATAAAGCTGGAAGTAGAGCTGTGGCTCCAACAGTAGAGCTCTAGCTTTGAGCATCTAATCCCTGAGTTCCAACACCAGGACCAGCACAAAAAACCAAAACCAAAACCCAAAAACCCAAAAACCACTATGATTCAGGCATGGTGGTGCACACCTGTAATCCCAGCACTTGGGAGGCTGTGGTTGGAGGAACTTGAGTTCAAGGCCAGCATAAACTACACAGGGAGATCCTGCCACAAAAGTAAACAAATAAAAAGGCAATATTAAAACTTCAAAATTACTTTTACTTTTTTGAGATGAGATCTTGCTGTATTAACTAAGCTAGCCTCAAAACTCCTCCGGCCTGTAATCCTAGCTACTCAGGAGGCTGAGATCTGAGGATTGCTGTGAAAAGCCAGCCCAGGCAGGAAAGGCTGTGAAACTCTTATCTCCAATTAACCACCAGAAAACCAGAAATGGAGTTGTGGTTCCAAGTGGTAGACCACTAACTAGCCTTGTGCAAAAGAGCTTAGGGACAACATCTAGGACCCTACAGCTGGCAAGGGGGGGTGGAGAGGGGAGGAGAAACTCCAGGGTTCAAGTGCTTCTCTGTAGTAGCTGAGAGACTACAGGCATGCACCACCATTCCTGGACCATGTTACTTAAATATTCTGGTTGGTACTTTCAGTTATTTGTCATATTTTTCAACCTAAATCCTTTGTGCCTATTCTAATATTTTGCTGAACAGTTGCCCAGTTCTGCCAGTCACAACAGCAGTGTTTAATTACAGTCTGATCTCTAAATTTCAAAGTGAATATATTGTACTATAAACAAAATACTAGCTGGGTACCAGTGGCTACCATCTGTAATCCTAGCTACTCAGAAGGCTGAGATCTGAGGATCTCATTCTGAATTCAGCCTGGGCAGAAAAGTCCTCATGAGACTCTTATCTCCAATTAACCACTCAAAAACTTGGGAGCTGTGGCTCAAAGTTGTAGCGATCTAGCCTTAAGCAAGAAAGTTCAGGGACAGCACCCCGGCCCTGAGTTTAAGCCCCACTATTGCCAAAACAAAACCCACTAGGCCTGGCGCTGATGGCTCAGGCCTGCAATCCTAAATACTAAGGAGGGCTGAGATCTGAGGATCGCAGTTCAAAGCTAGCTTGGGCAGAAAAGGCAGTGAGACTTTATCTCCAATTAACCACCAGAAAACTGGAAGTGGCACTGCAGCTCAAAGCAGAATACTAGCCTTGAGCAAAAGAGCTCAGGCAGGGCTGGGAAGGTGGCTCAGTGGTAGAGCGCTTGCCTTGCATGCCTGAGGCCCTGAGTTCGATTCCTCAGCACCACATAAGCAAAAAGAAAACAGCCAGAAGTGGCGCTGTGGCTCAAGTGGTAGAGCACTTAGCCTTGAGATGAAGAGCTGAGGGACAGCGCCCAGGCCCAGAGTTCAGGACCCACGACAGACAAAAAAAAAAAAAAAAAAAAGCCTGGCACCAGTGGGTCACACCTGTAATCCTACTCAGGAGGTTGAGACAGAGATCTGAGGATTGTGTTTCAAAGACAGGGCAGGTAGGAAAGTGTGAAACTCTTATCTCCAATTAACCACCCAAAAACTAATGCTAGCCTTGAGCTGAAGAGATGAGGGACAGCACCCAGGCCCCAAGTTCAAGCCCCACAACTGACAAAAAAACAAATCAAAACAAAAACAAAAGCAAACAAACAATGGAGAAAGTCCCTTTGATAAATAAAGATTTGATAACAAAGTACTGCTTAGTATTTCTCTTCTTGGACTGCTCAGTGGTAGAGTGCTTGCCTCGCATTCATGAGGCCCTGGGTTTGATTCCTCAGCACCACATAAGCAGAAAGAGCCAGAAGTGGCGCTGTGGCTCAAGTGGTAGAGCATTAGCCTTGGGCTGAAGAGCTGAGGGACAGTGCCCAGTCCCAGACTTCAGGCCCCATGACCGACAAAAAGAAAAAAAGAATTTCTCATCTTTCATGGGTAAAAATCAGAATTCTCATTTAATGAACAAAGTAATTGTGATTCTTCAGTTTCCAAAGATGGGGCATCTTTTTTTTTTTGTTATTGTTTTTTTTTGGGTCCGGTCGTGGGGCCTGAACTCTGGGCCTGGGCGCTGTCCCTCAGCTC